TATTATTAATTATTATAAAATTACTTGAGAGTTTTCATATCCAAATCGGATGCATCGGATGCAAGTAAAGTTCCCAAATCAATGTCCAGCTCTACATCTTTATGTACTGATGTAGATTTACTTGGGTCCATGGCAAGGTGTGCATATTATTAATTATTATAAAATTACTTGAGAGTTTTCATATCCAAGGTATTATAATCGGATGCAAGTAAAGTTCCCAAATCAATGTCCAGCTCTACATCTTTATGTACTGATGTAGATTTACTTGGGTCCATGGTGTAATTAACAAGGTGTGCAATCTTCTCGGACGAATTTTTGTCACCTTCTGCGTAGCACCAAGTTTCCGCCATCTTGCAAAATCACCATAGCAACCGATAAGCAACGTGACGATAAATGGCCGCGTTCAGCAAAGAAAACGCTTAGTAGCAATCGAATGTGATTGGTTCTTACTTTTATCACCAACGAATCAATGTCGAGTGTTGACAAGACGATAACTGAGCGCTTTCTCTGCTGAACGCGGCCAATAACTGAGCGCTTTCTCTGCCGAACGCGCCCAATGGTAGAAAGTGGAAGTAAAACGTGCAACTTTTACGAGGTTATTACGATAAGAAATATAATAAAAAGCATCGAATTCTGTTTTTAAATCGCACATTCGAGAAATGAAATAACTTCAAATGGAACTCTCGAAGCGTCATCAATTCATTTGTCCCTCATCTCCCAATTGATATAGAAGCATTTATATTTTATTATTTTCACAAAATTTTTCGTTTTCAAATGGAGCATCTAACCTCGTCACATACAAGGACAATGCAGATGCGATGACCAATGTTTTTAGCTGTGGTGAAGGTGTGTATGTACAAGCAAATTTTCTTACTTTTAACCTTACTGTTCTATTTTAATATAAATTATATATTATTATTAAGAAAATATTATCCTATTATAAGAATTTTAATCAATTAGTTTTGATAACTTGGCATTATATTAATTAAAGTAAAGTTATATTAAAATGATGCATGACAAACGGTTGTAATGTATCACAACCATAAACGAACATAAAATTACGCTCATGCACCGGCGACAATGATTGTCATGAGCCGGCAACAGAAGGAATTTCTCTCCTTCCTTGATCTCTGATAGAGGTCGAAGCTACATCTCTGGCTAGATGTAGCCAGAATGAATAGGCCACGATCAACAAAAGGTAGGTCCAACTGGCCCAACGAAGCAGCATACGGTACATTCTATTAGGGCACGCGAATAGGGCACGCGAATAGGACACGCGAATAGGGCACGCGAGTAGGATACACGGTTAGGATATGCGAGTAGGGCACGTGAGTAGAACACGCGGTTAAGGTACCCCCGCAATTTCGATTATTGCGGATTCCCGCTAGCTTAGCCACCAAAGGTAGGATTGTTAGGAATATGAGAACTATCTTAATTTAAGATAGTCATTTAATTCCTTAAGCATTTAATTCTTTAAGATTCGTAAGAAATTAAATGCTTACTAGGAACTAAAAATCCTAAGACTATTGAAATATTGGAAAGTTTCCGCCATCTTGCAAAATCACCATAGCAACCGATAAGCAACGTGACGATAAATGGCCGCGTTCAGCAAAGAAAACGCTTAGTAGCAATCGAATGTGATTGGTTCTTACTTTTATCACCAACGAATCAATGTCGAGTGTTGACAAGACGATAACTGAGCGCCTTCTCTGCTGAACGCGGCCAATAGTCGCTTTCATTTACATCAAAACTCAGATAAATCTTACTTGCGTTCTCTCTCGCTCGCACGTAGCATACATGCTTCCTTTGCTTCCTTTATTTTAAGCTTAATTTTCTAGCTGGTATAGTAGCGTCAACTAGATCCATTTTAGAGCTGGCGGAACTACATGGCCAGATTCACTTTTCGGTGCGATGCTTTTTCTAGCTGATGCAGTAGCGCCAACTAGATCCATTTTAGAACCGGCGTAATTACATGGCTAAAATCATTTTTCGGTGCCACGGTAAAACAACCGGTCGGTACATGTACGTGCTAGATGATCCATAATTGTGGATCAAAATTGCGGAGAAATATTATGAATTTATTAATGTTTTATTAATTGCGCGTGATGTTTTGTTATTCTAGTATATACTACGGACAGCGATAATAAGTTATTATTGAAATATTTTTATGTATATATGCGCACACACACATGTAACATAAAATAAATTTCCTTAAATTAATTTTCTTAACAATTTTTTCCCTAATTTTTAAATATATAACATATAGAAGAGTGTTCTTTTATCATTATTAATATTAGTATTATTTTTGTGTTAATGTTAAAAAGACTTAATAATAGATTGAACATGAATATAACTACTGTATATAGATAAATTTCCATTTTTCAAGTAAATTCAAACCACAATCAATTTGCCCGTTTCTATTGACTTTTTTTGATACAAAAATTATGGTTACGAACGAATGTATTTTATTGATTCATTTTTAATTAATATAATTTTTGTTTTTTCTTTTTTAGAAAATATTTCTAGGCAATGAGGATATTAACATTAGGTTTTGGTTTCTTTTAAGAAATTATTCGCAGGTATTGGACATCCCGCTATTTTAGGAGAAGCCTGGATAATTTTTAAATATACATATTCTATAGATATAATAAAATACATGCACAAATTAACATACTATTTCAAAAAATTTTTATACTTTTTTGAATATTATATTTAAAATATTATGTATGAATGTAACGTAAAAGTGCGAATACTTAAAAATTTTGAGACAAATTGAATGGGTATCCCGATATCAGTAAAATATCGACAAATTAATTTATTTAAAAGCTATAGAAAAATAGCTTATAATTAATTATTTGAAATTATGTCGATTTGTTTTATCTTGCAACGTCTTTGAAATAAAATTTTTAAAATTTTGTTGTTATCGGGTTCGATTTGTCTCAAACAGTTGGTACCCGAGAATTATTTGTACTCGCACATTTAATACTAGCTACAATAATGATGCATGTATTTTATTATTCATACATATAATCGTTCGTAACCACATTTTCATAAAATCGTTATATCCATTTATTTTTTAATATTAGAGATATATTTCTTAATAATGGGAGAACACAGTTTCTCGCGGAAATCTCAATCTAAATTGAAAGATAATGACAATGGTAACTGTCATTGATTCGTTACCGAAGTCATTGCTATTGGGAGCAGTCCGGAAGATCCGGGATTCGTTCCCTCCTACAGCGGGGCCCTTGATATTCAACGAATCACTTAACTTTTTTTTGCGGATTGATTTTGCGGGGTCCGATGTAGAAGCAAGAAGTTGATCGTTCTCCACTTTTAGGATTGTTCTTGTCTTTGTCGGATATTAACCGGCGTATTATCTGGCGGAGGGACCTTGATCTGGTCAAATCGTTGAGCCAGTTATCCTCCACTGAACGCGGCAATAACGCACACTTTTTTTATAACGGTATTTTAAGACTTATATGGTTTTATCCTGTTTAGTCAATTCTTCGCGAAACGGTACATATATTTTATTCTCAGTCGCGAAATTTAATTTAATTTAATTTAATTTAATAAAATCACGCATTTGAAAATAAATCGAGCATTAGATTTTATATGCAAATTGTATACAAATGCTCTATATTACAGACGCGATTATAAAAAGCGTTTCAAATGTCCGTCAAAACATTTTCGTTTAAGTATGTAGTAATTATATTGTTCCTCTGATTGCATGTGTATATTGAAATGGCGAATATTACGGCTATCGTCGATTTATTTATTCGTCGCGTTTTTTCGCAAATTTTAAATCGCGATTTATCTTGTGATTTAATCGTTGATTTACATCGATGCTTCGTCTATCTTTTCTCGAATATTTTCTTTGAAACTCTACGCAAAATGCGCCAGTCTAACAATAAATACTTTTTTCTTTTTAATTCAAAAACAATCGATAACTTTATTAACAACTCGTTTGGTCAGAATCATTTGCATTATATAAAACTTAATAAGCTTTGTAATTGCATGTTGGTCATTAATCACAAATATTGTATTAATTGTTCCTTATCAGCTATATGTAATTTAAAAATTTCTAGTGAATTCTGCATTATATGAATATTTCGGATATTTCCGTGTAATAA